TCAGTTATTTTTTAATTTTCTTCTTTCTTCCATGAGTTGCAGTATACTGTTATTCATCCAACTCTTTATTTTCTATTAGATGTTCTTCTGTGATCTTGTTAAAGGTTTCACATATATTCTGGAGTGATTCTTGTAGATCATATGTTTGCTCTGTTACTAAGCTTTTCTGAAAGAATCCGTGCGATTGTCTCCTTTGTTTCCTTATCTTTTAGTCTTCTCATATCACATTTTTTGTTACTATTGTTTTGTGGAACCTTTTTAAATCTAAATCTGCAAATCTTTCAATCTATAGACTATACAAATGAAATAACAGAACTTTTTATAAATACAATATACACTATTGATTTGTTTCTATTCCAAATTGCAATAAAGATATTAATAAGCAATGACCTTTTCATTATTACAATTCTGGCAACTGTCAGATTTAACTAAAATATGCAATATGCTAAAAATATTTAACATTTATTCGCGACATTCTTAAAATCCTATATGACAAAATTAATGACGCGCTGAAAGAAAGTTTGGACTATATTTATATTTTTTCAAAATTGACATATTTCAAATTCATGCGTATATAGCATATTTTTCTTCAGAACAATTTTTTGCTCTTTCTTCTATGCAAACAGTTACGATTTCAGAATGTTATTGCATCTGATAAGCTATAATGCTTAACAAAATGAAAATTTATTATTCCTTTCAACGAAAAAATGGAAATGACCATACGCGCTGCAGAGCTTTATAACAGCGGGTAAATTTTAACTCTTAAAATCAAGCATTTTAGTACGCAACCTTTAAACTTACTTAAATACTAATATAACACCTACTTGATAATAAGTAGATATTTACGTTTTCGAGATTTCGGTGATATTTCTTCAGAAATTGCGAAATTAAGTGCTGGATGATCTGAAAGTACTGATATGCCAACATAAACTTATTTTTTTATATCAGATAAATACCTTAAATGTACTACTAAGACATGATTACAATCGACTTCTTTCTTTATTTTATCGACTTATTTCAACAAGTCATAAAAATAATAGTCCTCCTAATTTTAAATTTTTGAACATATAGCAGGATAAAAGTAACTTTACACCAAGACAATGCAATGCAATTATTCTTATACATTCATTAATGCCAGTCACTTGACAGTGAACAATGCGACGCTAAACAACTGTCTATAATAAAATATCAGCGGCACTTTTCACAAAAGTGACAACAGTCCTAATGGCATAGCATTTAGTTTGCTTTGTTTGCAAATTATTTTAAAAATATATTTTTATATAAGAACTAGTTTCACTAAGTGATTAATTTTTAAATAAAATATCGATATCCAAAAACAAAACTTTAGTAATATTACAATTTGATACTGCAAACAAATCAAAATCAATGATAAATGTCAAAACAAGCATACAATTATATAAACCACAGAATTTCAAATGAAATATTAAAAATTAATTACCACCAAAACAAATTACAACACTTTTCTTTTAAAAATTGTCGGGCTATTAAAATATAGTATTGCCCTATATTGCATTGCCGCAGTGTAGAGTGGCTTTAACTATAACTAAAATGAATTACATTTGGAATTTAAGAGTAAATGTTTTTATTCGTGATTATCAAGGGTCAAAAGGTGTCTTTACCCTAAATTCTCATTTAGATAATTTCCTTAACATAATGGCTGATTTTCAACGTTTCAACCACATTTCCTGTTTTTAATTTGCATATACTTATATTTGCACAACTTGACAGCTTCTTCAGAAGAATGGTAATGTTAATTTTGTCTGTATTGTTTGATTATTTATTCTACATTGCCAAAAATGACGAAAATATATGTTTTGACAACATTTTGTGTGCAAGGGGCACAACATTAAGACTACTACCTGCCAAAAGGGTGTATGTACTCACGTGAAAGAAGAGAAATATTAGGAAACAATATTCTTTTTTTAGGAGTAAAATTTATTATGTCGTAAAATATTTTATTTGGGTACTGTTTTGAAATAAATGATTTGATTTAACTATCTCAAGTTTATGATTATTTGGAACTTTATAGTAAGGATAATATATATCTTTGTGTTAAATTAATTAAATTCAATTCCTTCCGATTCGATTTAATTCGATTTGATTCCATTCCATTCGATTCGATTATTTTATTTTACTTTAGTTTATTTTATTAAGAAATATGCATGGGACTGCATTTACTACTACACGTAGTGTGTGGTCACTTAATCTGTCGTTACATTGCGTTTCTTTTGTTTTTATTTTTCCACCTCGTTGCGATCCATTGCATCGATCAATACATTCTGGTCGTAGCCCGCGATAAGAGAGCTATGCTTCCATAGAAAAAAAAACTAAATTTCAGAATTGCTTCATTGACTTATAGCATCAATGAGAGCGTGTTGTTAAGTTGAATTAAAATTAGAAGTATGCTATGGGCTGGATGACGAAGAATAATGTATGGCGAAATTATGAACGAAGGTCGGATAGTTTTGAAACTTCTTTTTATTTACGTGACATCTCTGCGGCGGAGGTTGGCAACACTTATGGCTATTCTGATCTTAGATGCCCTGCTATACCATTCCTGCCAAGTGCGCAGTCATGAGATTATCCTTGCTACACTCTTCCTTCCCTGGATTTTTCCCTTGTATAACTAATTAAAGCACATAACATCTTTTATCACGTATATGTCCCAGGTATTGCAGCTTTTTAGCATTAACCTTTATTCCAGCAGCCCTCAAGAGTAAAAAAAATTCCTAAGAGTATGCATTAAAGAGAAGTGGTGAAGCGCACACAGCCCTGTCTCACCCCTCCCTTAATTTTAATTTCTTCTGCGTTTTCATTGATTCGTACTATTGCTCGTTGTTTATAATAGATTTTTTTTGATCTGAAGGTCATTGCCATCTATTTGCTTTGCTTTTAAGACTTCTATAAGCTCTTTGTGACGAAATATATCAAACGTGGTACATATCTTGTTTAACATCCAAGGATTAAAACAGTGAATGTAAAGAGAGCTTCTCCTGTAAGCTTTCCAAACAATGTTTCTTATATATATATATATATATATATATATATATATATATATATATATATATATATATTATATATATATATTGTGTAACGTTACTAAACGCCACATGTTTGTTATTTTTCTTCAAAGAATTATTTAATTTCATTTTTTTATTTTATTCATTTAATAACTTTCCCTTTTGTTTGACTATTTTTCTTGAAAATAGTTGACGCTCAACTCTTCTATCAATTAAATATTCTGTTTAATCTTATTTTCACTTATTTTGATTCTATTCCTCGTATTCAGACCCCATATCTACTGAATTCTATGCTATGCCATAGACATAGATAAAATGTCTATGCCCTACCTCAAGTCGACAAAATATATATGTCAGTTGACAACTCCATTCTGTTATGTCAGTTTTCGCTTCAATAAAAAGGAAAACTTGGTTTTCATTTCAACTTGGTTAGGTGAACTGATGTCTTAATGCATAAAATCGTTTATATATAGGTATATAAATCCCATCTCTGGGGTGAGTATAAATATCCTCATGTTGTTGATCATGTAGTTGATCATTTTTTAACATATCTGACTTTTTATAATTTTATATTTATGACATGCTTTATACATAATCTAATCTCCAAGCCAAGCTTTTCTTTATAGCGATCTTTATTTAAAGCAATTTTAACTAATTATATTCATTTAATTATCCCTGACATCAGCTATGTCCTTTCAAAACAATTGCTTTTTCTACGGCAAGGAAATCTTTAAAACGTATGCAGGAGCTAACAGAAGGTTTCTCATTTTAGTTTTTTGGCCTAAATAATTTTTTTTTTGTGGAACTTTATGAAGCATCATAGGGCACCACGCATTGGATGACAACTGCAGCAGCATGGTAGATACCGTGCCGAGCTCAATAGCTGCTTGAAACTACAACGGGTTCAGCTAAAATCCATCCAAGCAGCATCTCAAGCCATCAACAAGTTATCCTGTCAACTACATGAAGCCACAAGTAACAAGTTCAAATTTGTGCGAAGCTATAGACCGGATTTGCTTTGTTTTTATTTAATATTAAAACTTCATTTCATTTTTTTAAGGTGCAATAAATATGATTAGTTAATATCATGTTTTATTTGTTCCAGCCAAACTCATTTTTTAAATTTGCATTTATGATAAGACTGTTGACACCTGAGAGACCGAGCAAGAGGGAGCAAAAACAATTAGGCCCCAACTTTCAAAGGGTAGTTTAATTTTTACACAATGGCGACCAACGTGATGCCAATGTGTACAGATTAACTGTATACCGGGTGGTGAATCGTCAAACGGGTCATAGGAAACTCAATGGGAAATTTTAAATTGTTGAATTGCTGCTTCCCTAATTATTTTAGATCAAAAATCATAAAAAACTATTTGTAGAGGACTAAATTCTAAATTAAAAACAAATGTTAAAACCGTTCTACGAATCAAATGTACTTCAAAATTTTGCAATATATATATATATATATATATATATATATATATATATATATATATAATATATATATATATAAATTCCTTTTTTGGACCAATTCATTACTAATTCTTAAAAATATGTCAACAAGACGATCTACATTGTCTTACAAATAGAATCATCGAGGAAAATCGTAACTAGAGTAGATTCTGGACTTTGTATGTAATATTGGTTGGAAATTAAACTACTTTATAAATATTAAATGTTAGTGCTAGATTTTTTTATTTTCTTATATTTTTATTTTTTTATATTCTGTATATACACATTACTCAATGTGTATATAAAGGTTATTTGTAGATACATATTGTTGAAAATAAAATAATAAACAACACTATTTTTCGCTGGGAGTAGCTAAAATCGCAAACCAAAACATTTTTATTGCCTAGACTGCTCTAAGTAGATTTTTTTTCGATGGCTTTATATTTATCTAAAAAGTACTATGTATGTTGGCATATCTAGTAATTCAATGTTTTTACCTATACTTATTTAATCACTATCACTAGAGCTTGAGTATTCTTGTATTACGAAAATCGAAATATTAGCCGGGCCCAAACAGATTTCGTAATAATTGTTAAAGTCCCTGAGATTTGTCTTCGATGTAGTGTAACAGTAATCCATAACAAGAACTTCTTTACACCTATTAAAAATAAGTTAATTAGTACAATAAAAAATTATGTATGATTTTTTTTTTACAAATTATCGATATAAAATGCCAATTACAAAACATATACAAAATTAGAGTATAAAAAGAAATTTATCTTTTGCTGATATTTCTGCATATAAAAAATTTCAATCTTACATAGTATATATATATATATATATATATATATATATATATATATATATATATATATATATATATTAAACCTAGAGCTAAGATTAATACTATTTATTATTACAGGAATTTGTGTCTTTTCAAATCATCCATCTGAACGGTTCATCCTAGTATCCGGTTCACGATGGAGATGGAAACTGATTCATCCCTATTTTTTCTCGACGTTATCATAAAGAAAAACCAATCCCAAGGTTTTCATCACTCACATATAATATGTAATGAAAAAATACAACATCCTGCAAATGATAATGCAGGGCAAGATTCAAGGTAAAAGCAGCGTAGGACGAAGCAGAATATCCTGGTTGAGAAATCTCAGAAAATAGTTCGGATGCAATTCAACCCAAATTGTTCCATGCAGCGACCTTCAAAGATTAGGATAGAGAAGATACGAAATACTAGGAACAAGTATTTGGTAATAGGTATGAGCATATAACGTAACGTAACAGTTACCGGTTTTCTAAAATACTAGTTCCAGTTCCATCTAGATATTTGTTCAATGACATGACGGACACAGAATATATCAAGTCTGGTAACTGTAAACTGGTACTGTTACTGTACACAACACAATAACGTCGATACTCAACACCTGCGCTGCACTTTGATATCAATATTTTGGTATTGGTATTGGTATTACGAATACTTGGGGATACCGATACGCACAGGGATCAGTTGCATTTTTTGGGTAGGTATAGGTAATAGTTTGTTATGGTTTGTAGGTATTGAGGATTGGCGGTTCGGACGTCGGGATTATTACGGTGGTGTATGCAAGATGTGAAATTAAATGTATTAAATCTGTCATATCATAATATTGGTCACTTGTTTTTACTATATTATTCTAGAAGTATTTTAATTTGATTTTGTTTGAGTGTAACACATATTTTTTATGAAACTAAAATAAAATAGTATATAAATTTTCTGTGTGTGCAAATAACTTTTAATTTATTGAAAATTTAAAAAAAGCAAATAAACATTACATTTGATATGGATAATAGTACCCATATAACATTATAAGCGATACTTATTGATGCCTTGTTTATTTTTACGGGTGACGTGGACTCCCATTTATATTTTATATTATAGTAGAATAACTATTTCTTTATGGTAAAACATATTTATTTAAATAAAAATGTAATTCTTAAAATATACATATCATTTACTAAAATAAACTGGATGCGTACACCTAATACAAAAATAACAAAAAACAAATGAGATCGTTTAAAAAATAATACACGAGTATTTAACAAAATACAAAATATAACATATGTAAAACATTAGAAAAATTTTGAATTAACACTTAAAACTGATAATTGCTCTAATTTATTGCTTTTCAAGCGATTTCGTTTTTCCATGAACAATTATTGTCCTCCTTACAGACTGTGACTGGAATAGACGTGAAGTACAAATGTAAAAAATACTAGGTTAAAAAGTAACTAGTATTTGGAACAGGTACGAACATGGAACCGGAACGTAATGTAACTGTTACCGAAAAATACTTATTTGTATCATCTGTAGATTAGGAGAGCAATGATGATCATCAAGCTATCGCGTAGAAGATTAAACATAAACAGATAAATATACAGTAGAACCTGCTTAATTCGAAATCTTCTTTAATTCGAATTTTTATTCTGGTCCCTTGCATTTCCTATATAAGTAATGTTAAAAAGTCGTGGATAATTCGAATTATATTTTGGATAATTCGAACTTTTCTACAAGTTAAAAATGCCAATTTCGTGCTGGAAATTTCCGCTAAAAGAGGTAGTATTCTTTTCTGTTCTAACGTGCCACTTGTTTCAAGGCATTCAAGGCCATTGTACATTGTACTCGTACCTGTCACCTAAATTCTAGCCTATCTGGCACGCCCCTTCAGTTGAGATGCGTTGGCGTTGCAAGTGCAATCACAGCAAATCACGTCAAGTCACTTCGTATTGAGTATAGATGTCGTCGCATGGTAATACGAAAACATACAAAACTTTAACGTTATCGGAAAAAATAGCGGCAATTAGAGAAGTAGAAAAGGGGACGAAGAAAAAATCTGAGGTTGCCAGGGACTTTGGAATTCCTCCTAACACATTATCCACCTACTTGAAGAATAAAGAAAAAATTCTCAATAGTGAAAGTGAGTGCGGTAAAGATCGAAAAATGTTAAGGGAGCCAGAAAATCCAAATTTAGACAGTTGTGTGTTAAAATGGTTCAAACAAGCTAGGGATAAGAAGATTCCCGTGAGTGGTTCCCTTATAAGAAGCAAAGCTGAACAATTTGCTATTGAAATGGGGAAAAACAATTTTAAGGCGAGTACAGGGTGGCTCGACGGCTTTAAAGAACGCAACAAAATTTCTTTCAAATCCATTTGTGGAGAAAGTGGGATCGTTAATCAGCAAGAAGCCAACCAGTGGAAAAAATTTGGAAGAGATGATTCAGGGTATAGATGAAAGAGATATCTTTAATGTTGACGAGACGGGTTTCTTTTTTAAATGCACTCCTGACAAAACGCTAGCATTTAAAAATGAAAAATGTCACGGAGGAAAACTAAGTAAAGAAAGAGTAACTCTCCTAATTGGTGCAAACATGGACGGATCAGAAAGACTACCTCTACCGATGATTGGCAAGTCGGCTAATCCGCGTTGTTTTAAGAACGTCAAGTCAAAACCAGTGGAATATGTGAGTAGCGCAAAAGCTTGGATGACTAGTAGCTTTGGTTGAAAACATATTGATGGAAGATTGCGACACCCTTAAAATAAAGTTTGACATTCAACAAGCATCTCGAATGTGTAAGACAAATTTCATATACTTAATGTTTCACTTCAATTGATGCGCAGTGTATAATAAAATAATTAAATTGAACTAATATATTCCTCAAATATGTTAGAAGGATGTTAGAATTCTATTACAATGCATTCATAATCATTTCTTACCTAGGAATATCATATTCTGGAATATCAACCTTCTCGTGAGCAGGTACCAGCCTGGTCTGTTCTTTGTTCTCTATGACGTCAAATGCGTCACTCTCAATACTCCACGTGAACAGAAAGTGGGCTGAAAAATGCTCGACAGTGGGATAAGGATTTTTTAAAGCACCTATTTTTATAATGGCACGGCAAATTATATGGCCGTTAATTGGACAAATCTGAAAAAAAATTTATAAACATTGGTCCGCTAACAAATATTTTGATTGAATACTAAAATATTATCCTTATAATACACAAGTAGATGTAAGATATTGTAGTTACATTTGCAATCCTTTATATTATTGTTATAGTCTTAATATATATCACCAATAGTCTTTATTTTGTTAAAATTATTAATAAAACAAGAATTGAAAATTCTATTTATTTTCGATATATTTCAGCTCAAATAAAATGAGTTTTTTGCCTGGTTCGTTTTTCCGTTAAGACGCCTGCTAGAACAAGTTTTTTCTTTCAGTATCTAAGCACGCTTCGATATTACGTTACCGTCAATTCTCCTCTTCTCAATTTAAAAGTTATCATTTTTACGACTACAATTGGTCGTGAATGTTTTGTTCAAGTACCAACCGCTTCGTTAATTCATTGCAAAAAACAAGTTTTTTCTCTACCAAGAATTAGGTCACCATGTTTATTTGTTTTGGGAACTCGTCAAAGGGCAATAAATCTTTTAGTTTTATTGTTTTATTATTATGCAGTTTCTTTGTAAATGTATAGAAAAAGTGGCTTATTATAATCCACCGTTGAAACGTTTAAAGTTCGTTGAAGACGTTTAAAATTTGTCGGGTCGTTCTTTCCTATAAAATGTTGGATTGGAGCGGCATTCAAAGACTCCGTTCTCGGTCCCCGTAACTGACAGTGGGTACATACATACCGGCCTCTCAAAACTTCTCTCTCGATTCTCATAAGAGACAGTCATCCCAACGGCATTTGAGGACTACTCTTTCTGTTCCCGTGTCGAATATAAAATTTCAATTCACTTCGCAAATACACGCGCTCTACATAAATTTTCGTTCGCACATAGCAGAAAAATGTTTTAGTTACATACATTTGTAAAGAAATATCTTTTGTAAAAGTGTAACTTTAAATTCATCAAGCATAATTATTACCATTTCCACTTTGTCAAAATGAAACAAAACATTTTTTGGACGAAGGATTATTTAATCCAAATCTACATACTTAGCCAGTTCCAACGTCTGGCCCGCTACTTTTGTTGTATAAAGGAGACAAATCACAACAATTATATTAAGACCTTATTATTGTATATTGCGGTTGTATAGTTAGTATGAACAAATTTGTACATAATCTACAATGCGATATAAAAATTTAATTATACTTACATGTATAATTTTAATATCGTAATCTTCACAGTGCATAAATTCTAGCTGTGCTTCGGAACAAAGTTTCTGAGCCCTGCGCTGAACAAATTGTTCACAGTCAAAAGATCTCTGTGTCACAATCAGGTGTATTTCGTTTACTTGATCTACTTTGAAGTCTGGTACGACATCTAAATGTTGATCGGTGAGATTTTGCGCCAACAGAGGTATTTCTATAGGGATATTATAGTCATCTAAAAAACAAAAGAATATTACTAATTTTCAGAATAACATAATTTATTTGTAAACCACAAGAAAAGTGAAATTCTGAGCTGGTGTATACAAGGGATGACATTTTTTTTTATTTAAAACATAACATCACTTTGGTGGCACGTAAATATTAATAGTGAGATCTGCGAGATCTGTCTAAAAGCAGACCATAATCGACGTTTTCCATAGAAGAATATTTTTTACTGGAATAAAAATAAACTACAATCGAATCGTATCTAATTGAATCGAATCGAATCAAATATCGAATCTAATCGAATATCAAATCGATTCTAGAATCGACTCGATTTTGTTTGAATCGAATTGATTATCGAATCATATCAAATCGATTATCAAATCAAGTCGAATCAAATAGATTATCGAATCGAATCAAATATCGGATCGAATCAAATAAATTATCGTATCGATTATCCAATCTTCTTCTTCTTTAGGTGCTGTGTCCGTATTTATTCACATTGGCTATCTTAATGTTTACAACTTCCTGAAACCGTTCTCTATCGATGCTAGGCGAAGTAATTCTTCTACTGTGGTACCACACCATTGTCTACAATTACACAGCCATGAAAGTTTCTGTCGAACACTCCATCCCTTTCCTTCCATTTTTCCTTGTATTATAAGGTGGAGTAGATGATATTTGGATCCTCTGTATATGGCCGAAGTATTCTGTTTTTCTCGAATATGATTATTGGATCGAATCGAATCAAATATCGAATCTAATCGAATCCAATCGAATCGATTATCGAATTGGTCATCGAACTAAATGGGTTATCGAATCTGATCAATTATCGAATCAAATCGATTATCGAATCTAATCGGATTGAATCGAATCAGTTATCGGTTAGAATCGATTATCAAATCAAATGGAATTTCTATTGAACTATAACCCTCTATAGCGAGGCAAATTTGGTTATAACGAGAGAAAATAAGAACGAAAAACGTGTTTACGTTTTTAAATAAATACCCTTTTTAACTGCCGCCCGCAATAAACTTCTTCGTAAATTTACAATTTATGATTCACGTGATGCAAGTGTCATTGCAGGGGGTTGACCATTCGCACCTAATAATAAGGTCCTATACCCTGTCTACCCAACAGACGGAGTTATCACGTGAATACCATGTAAACTCATGAAATATTATAATCATTCCTACAAACTGTCAAACTAGTCAGAATTCGTGGCAAACAGTTGGTCAGTGAGAGAACAATAATACTGTCATTAGTGCTATCCTCCTTACTGCGCTGGTCGACTATTCGTTCATAGTTTTGGACGGTTCGGCCACTTGTTGGGAAGAAACCTATTATACGAATACGTTCGCATTGAACCAGTGACGTACCAGAAAAATAAAATAAAAAGTTATTATACAGACAAAAATTGAAATAAACGATTTTATAACAACATGTTATGTACATTGTAATGAAAAAAAAACCGTAAATTTCAATAGGATGATTTGGGAGCGTTATAAAAGCTTGAGATACCGCTAAAATGTAAATAACGCAAGCTTGACTGTACGGGAAATATATATAGTGTTAATTTTAATACAATTTCTAGCATTTGGCGTAGAAGTGGACAATACAATTTTAAAATATAACTTTAAAATATAACCTCAATCTGACACTATAACTTAAAAATTTTTAATGCAATACAAAAATAATAGAAGTTCCTTAAAAAGTAAACAATAAAACCTGGAAGTGTCTTTAACAAATGGGGAGAAATGGCAATCAAAATACTATAGGCTAACTTTAGGCAATGTGGACATTATACACATGTAAACTTAAATGTGTACGTAATGGTAGCTTACCCCACTGATGCTTTAAAGTGTGCACCAGGTCTTACGTGATAGGTCAAATTCAGGAGGTGTCCCCGTGATGAAAGGTATAACTGTATTTGGTTCAGGTTCCGACCATTCATAGATTCATTTGGTGGTCATGTTGAACTCGGTAGCTGCAGCTAATTCTGCGGTTTGTATTGGAGATTTTCTGGAGGGCAGTCGACCTTGGTTTGCATCTTTTATATAGTTGTGAATCGGCAGCGCCGTGTTGCTAAGGATCTGGTTATATACTTTGGTCAGCAGATTGAGTCGGCGAAGGTGTAATGGTGTAATGTCGCTCAGCATTGGTACTAAATGGGTTGGTGTAGGTTTGGGTGAGCTGGATATCAATCCTTTGAACATCAGTACTGTTGATCCATATTGGTATGCAATATTCAGCTAGAGAATAAACAATAGCTAAGCCTGAGTCTAGATACCGATGCCTCAATTTTGTGCCGCAGAGCTTCTGATATATGTTATTTTTGGTTTTTAGCTTCTTAGCAACTATACTTAAATGTTCTCTAAAGCTTTCCGTTCTGTCCAAAACTACGTCTAGGTATTTTGGATGTTTATTGTGGTTAAGTCATGTGTTATCAAAAGAACGTTAAGTAGTGTTCTTGACTCCAGATTGTTGTTTAGGTGAAAGTAAGTTACTTCAGTTTTAGAGTCATTGGGGCGAAGTCTCCATTTTTGAAAGTAATGTCCTATAATTGCTAGGTCTTCCGTCAGAATCTCTTCAGCTTCTTTTGTGATTTTGTTGGTGTTAATAAAGCCCAGTCATCAGCATAGCTAAACTTTGTTGATGTTATCGGTATGTCTGCGATATAAAGGCTATAAAACAATATTCCGAGTAACGAGCCTTGCGGTAGACTATTTTTGAGTTTTCTGGGGGTGCTTATTTAGAATCCCATAGTTACTTGAAATACTTTGACGGTGATGTTCTATTAGTCTAGCGGTGAATTTGCAAGGCAGAGTACGTAAGAGTCTATAAATCATTCCTTCTGGTCAGACTGTGTTGAAAGCTGCAGATCATTGGGCTGATTCTTTTAAACATTAATCTTTCAAGTAGTTTATACTATAAGATTTATATTATAAGAAATTGGTCGATAGTTTTTTGAACGTTTTAAATTCCCGTGGGATTCTGAATACAATTTAGTATGCATTCGGGGTGGATGCCGTCAAAACCTAGGTCTTTTTCCGGTGAAACGTCTTTAAGTGCGATCTTCATTTCTTCACTTGTCAAAGAGCAAGAATGTTTGATCTCAATTGATTGCGATTTTAAGGAATTTTATTCGCTGTCGGAAGTGGAAGTTTCGGAATCATCATAAGGATTAATAATTAATGGTTCGACGGTGATTTCCATTATTCTATCAGTTTCCCACATTTTTGATTCCTCTTTTTTAACGTGCTCAATTGCCTTCTGCCAATTATGTGCTGTTACATTTTGCACTGCTTCATAAAAACACTGTTTGACATCAGCAATTTTAAAAGAGGTGTTGTTTCTTGCCACTTCTCCCTTGATTTGGGCCCAGATCAACTCAATTGGGTTAAACTCACAATGGTAAGGTGGCAAACGTAAAACATAATGTTCTTTTCTTGCAGCCATTTCGTCTGTAACATATCGGTCAGCTGGTTTATTGGCCTTTACTAATGTTAGCAATTCTGCTTTAAACCATATCTTCCGTAAAGGCTATGCCGTGTCTATTCAACCATGCTTGTATTTCTGCCTTTTTTGTAGCTGATGTAGGGGATTTATCAATACGTCTACTGTGGTACGAAGCGTTGTCCATAACTATTACAGAGTTTTTTGCTAATTGTGGCAAAATATTTCTGAACCAGTTTTCGAACACCTCAGCATTCATATCTGCATGGTAATCGCCATCCTTTTTTGACTCAAAGACCAACAAACCATTATTTGCTACAAATCCATCCTCTGATCCAATATGTAATATAATTAGACGTTTACCTTTACCAGAGGGAGATTTTAACCCAGTTGACAGACCCTCCAAAAAGGCTTGTCTGGGATTTTTAATATTTTCATCCACCCATATTTTGCTAGTAGTTTGACCTGCATTTACCCAGGTTTCGTCTAGATAATAAATCTTCCGCCCTTCCTCTCTAAACTTTTTGATTTCGCGTAGATACCTACGTCTCCAGGAGATTATTTCATCTTTTTCTGTTAAGATGCTATTCTTTTTTCTGGTTATAAAACTAAAACAAAAAACGTTATGTAATTGATATTGTAATTCCTTGTAAACACATTTTTACTTACTGAAAGTTAATTTCCTTAATTAATTTAGCAAATGTTGCTCGTTTGAAATTTGGCAAATTGTCGTCGTTATTGATTTCAGTCAACATTTTATTGTTCAACGAATTGTTCAACTTGCGCATTATTTTGCTGTTGGTTATCCATATCTAAAATAAGGCAGTGATATAGATATTTATTTTACAAATTATTTTTACGCTTTGACTAACTTGTTTTTTAATATATATTCTCAGGTTCAGAAATAATTATACATTTTTATACTGCGTGATTACATCCACAAGAGTTTTTTTGACCAATATCTGTATTAGTATATGTACTTACCTAATTTCTTTACAAAACACAAAAATGTACAATACACAATATAAGTCTTAACATATAAAATAAATACAATTAACACAATAACATAATACACAGCACAATATTTCTTCAAAATACCTTAACGTACGCCCTTGTATGCAATACCGATAACTGACCGATACAACTTCTGCGAAGTAAGTAATTTGACTGTCGCTTTTCAACAATCACGTGCAGATCACGCATTTTTATTACTCCGTCTGTTCGGTAGACGAATTATAATAGACAAGATGTGGAAAGTGCTTTAAACGTTGTAAGAAACTTTATCCAAAGACAAAACGCAAATGAAGAAGCATACAACTATTTCACATCTTTAGAAAATATAAATAGAATACTGGACAATTTAAAGCAGTTAAAAATTCAAAAATGGCAGACTTCTTCCAATTGTAGAAGCAATAGTTTATGATATCCTTGAAAATACGCTTTATACAGATTTACAGAATACAGATTTTTTGTTTTAACGTATATCATTGACAATAAAAGTAAACAACTCTTTTTTTGTTTAACTGAATTTCATTGACAATAGAAGTAAACAACTATTTTTCAAAAACGCCATTAAAGCAATATTTAGCATCTTATATTGCTCCGAATGGTTTCACTATAGGGAGTTACTGTTTTGGAAAACTACATATTGATATGTATGCACAGTATTATTGTTGTTTGATATAACGAGATCGGCTTATAATGAGGTAATTAGTCATTTCAAGTTATCGTTATAGAGGGAGTCTACTGTATAATAAAATAAATCGATTTATCGAACCTAATCAAATCGATTATCAAATCAAATCGACTATCGAATCGAATCTAATATCGAATCGATTTAAATATTGAATCGAATCTATTACTGAATGTAGTCGATTATCGAAATATCGAATCGAATAGAAATTAAATAGAATAAAACCATCGCTCCTTGCTTAGAAGATAAGCATACTATGCTTCCTCTCCACGGTCATTCCCGGAGTGACACATCCCGTTTGTTATGTATTATTAATTAAACAAAAGTAAAATAAAATGAAATGAGGTTGAATGCTCGAATAAATGAACTTTGAAAATAAGGCTATTATCGAGCACAAGTTAATTAAATCTAGCCCAAGTACTTTCGCTTACAATAGCATCTTCAGGGGCATCTGAAATAAGCCAAGAAAACGTTTTTTAGATGAAGTAAATTAGTTAACTTCGATAAAAAAACTCGAAGTTAATGGATGAAAAAAAGGTTTTTGAGATTAACGTTTTAGACTTACTTCGTCAAAATAAGAACTATCCGGCAAGCGTAGGATGTGAAAACATTAAAACTAACATAAATTATACAAAACACTACACTAAAACGAGGACAAACAGTTTAAAATTACTTCTACGCTACATTCTCTGTCAGTTTCTGGAGGAATAATGATCTAAGCGGAAATGATACGGTGACATATGACATATGACAACTTTGATAGGCAGTCAAAGTTATGGATCTGTGATCAGCAAATATTGAAATTCTGTATAAGTTGTCATTGGCCAAAGGTCCAACTAGAACTACTACTGAAAAATCAGCTGATGACGTATGACATGTAGAATATTTTGATTTAAACTAGATTGCATAATCCAGATCTCACACTCACACCCGTCTGTAATAATAAGGTTGTAGGTTTGAGGCTAAATGAAGTGTACATAAAGTGTGAATGAAAGAAATAGACCAAACGATCTATTGGACAGTGGGTAGTTGACTACAATAAAATGGTCTACCTTACACTGTCAATATTGCAAAATGAGAAGAAAATTGACTATAAAATTGAAATATTAAAATTAGGTCAGAATTGAAAGCAGTGTGTAAATGGGTATAGTTCAAGTAGTTCAGTTAAACCTCAAGCCAATGGGGGAACTATAAAACTAATATGTAATAGCATTACTAAAGACCAACCGACCAACAAGTGTTGAAATATAAACTGTGGAATTAGTATATGTAGGTTATGCAGAGATATGAAGAGTGAAATCAACTCCAACTGTGGATCAATTGAATCTGAGCAAGCTAGTTGTGTAAATTGTTAAATACAATAGTACTGCTGAACAGAGCTTGAAATTGGTAGATTCTTAATGTATAGACTCAGTGCAGGAAGTCTAGACAGCCGAGCTGGGTCCACTACGAGGTGAAGCTGTAATAAAGTTTTTAAAAATAGGTTTAAATTTAGTACAGTTTTAAATTAATTTGAGTATTAAGACAATGAGAGTTTCCATTCGTTTCCTTGTGATCTCCAAATCTTCCAATAGATCCAACTCCAAATAATTTTTCTTTCTACTGATGTCATGCAAAATAGACGACCCAGTATTGATGTTGAAATTGTGTTTGGTAGACTCTAAATGTTGACCAAAACTTGAAGAGTTTGGTCTTTTTAAATGTTATCGAATGAAGATCGAATCTCTATCGACTAGAATCGATAGAGATTCTCTAGTCCTTAGCAAAGCTGATAAGGGAAATTGTGTTGTAATTTTAGAACAAACTCAATACATAGAAAAAGTAGAATCTTTTCTGTCAGATAATAATTTTGTAGTTTTAGAAAAAAATCCACTTAACACCTTTATTAATAAAACAAAAGCAATGGTTAAATTGTTTAATGATACTATCTCTAAATATAACAACAGAAAGTTAATTGTATCTAACCCTATAACACCTAGGTTATATGGACTTCCTAAAATTCACAAACACAATTGTCCCATTAGGCCTGTTGTAAGTTTTTGCAACACTCCAGTTTCTATATTGTCAGAGTTTGTTTATAACACAATCCAATCTATTACTAATTTTAAACCTAAGTTCTCCATTACAAATTCTTTAGATCTAATAGAACGTTTAAATAACATCAAAATAGAAGAGAGTTTTTATTTGGTTTCCTTCGATGTTTCCAATTTGTTTACTTCTGTACCAAGAGATGAAACATTACCTTTAGTACACAACCTTTTAAACAATTGCAACATACCGGCTAAAGACAGAGATGCTATCTCAACTATGCTCAAATTCTGTCTTGATCAAGACTTCTTCCAATTTAACCAAAAAATTTACAAACAACCTACAGGCCTAGCAATGGGTTCTCCATTATCACCTTTTTTAGCTGATATTTTTTTGGACAGCTTAGAACAGAAATTTGTTAACAACAACAACAAAATAATTTTTGGTCAAGGTACGTTGATGATTGTATAGCTCTGATACAAGGATCCCAAGATGATGCTTTACAGATTCTGGAAGATCTTAATAACCTTCATCCCAACATCTCTTTTACTTTGGAACCAGAATCTGACAATAAGTTGAACTTCTTGGACATGACTATATCTCGCAATAAAGATTCTCTTGAGTACAATATTTACAGAAAGCCCACCCAAACAGATCATGTTATACATGAGACATCCAACCATCCAACCCAACATAAAATGGCAGCTTTCAATAGTTATATTCACAGATTACTTAAATTTCCACTTTCAAATGATAACTTTAATGTAGAACTCAACACTCTCAAACAAATTGCTTTAAATAATGGTTATGATCCCAACATTATCCATAAACTTCTAAATAGAGCTAAACTCAAAATTACAGAAAAGCTTGCATATTCATCACAAAGTCTTCTCCAGCAAAATGCTTCTAACAATATCAGATATTTCTCTTTTACTTATATTAGTAACATTTCTAATAAAATAGCCAAACTTTTTACTTCTACAGTTGAAAACATCAAAATTTCCTTTAAGTCACACAACACTGTAGGTTCCTTTTTAATTAACACTAAAGACAGGCTGAACACACTTGACAAAAGTGGTATTTACAAATTAAAGTGTGATGATTGTGATGCCTCTTATGTAGGCAGAACCATTAGAAAGCTATCTACTAGAATATCAGAACATTTAAAAAGACCAAACTCTTCAAGTTTTGGTCAACATTTAGAGTCTACCAAACACAATTTCAACATCAATACTGGGTCGTCTATTTTGCATGACATCAGTAAAAAGAAAAATTATTTGGAGTTGGATCTATTGGAAGATTTGGAGATCACAAAGGAAACGAATGGAAACTCTCATTGTCTTAATACTCAAATTAATTTAAACTGTACTAAATTTAAACCTATTTTTAAAAACTTTATTACAGCTTCACCTCGTAGTGGACCCAGCTCGGCTGTCTAGACTTCCTGCACTGAGTCTATACATTAAGAATCTACCAATTTCAAGCTCTGTTCAGCAGTACTATTGTATTTAACAATTTACACAACTAGCTTGCTCAGATTCAATTGATCCACAGTTGGAGTTGATTTCACTCTTCATATCTCTGCATAACCTACATATACTAATTCCACAGTTTATATTTCAACACCTGTTGGTCGGTTGGTCTTTAGTAATGCTATTACATATTAGTTTTATAGTTCCCCCATTGGCTTGAGGTTTAACTGAACTACTTGAACTATACCCATTTACACACTGCTTTCAATTCTGATCTAATTTTAATATTTCAATTTTATAGTCAATTTTCTTCTCATTTTGCAATATTGACAGTGTAAGGTAGACCATTTTATTGTAGTCAACTACCCACTGTCCAATAGATCGTTTGGTCTATTTCTTTCATTCACACTTTATGTACACTTCATTTAGCCTCAAACCTACAACCTTATTATTACAGACGGGTGTGAGTGTGAGATCTGGATTATGCAATCTAGTTTAAATCAAAATATTCTACATGTCATACGTCATCAGCTGATTTTTCAGTAGTAGTTCTAGTTGGACCTTTGGCCAATGACAACTTATACAGAATTTCAATATTTGCTGATCACAGATCCATAACTTTGACTGCCTATCAAAGTTGTCATATGTCATATGTCACCGTATCATTTCCGCTTAGATCATTATCCTCCAGAAACTGACAGAGAATGTAGCGTAGAAGTAATTTTAAACTGTTTGTCCTCGTTTTAGTGTAGTGTTTTGTATAATTTATGTTAGTTTTAATGTTTCCACATCCTACGCTTGCCGGATAGTTCTTATTTTGACGAAGTAAGTCTAAAACGTTAATCTCAAAAACCTTTTTTTCATCCATTAACTTCGAGTTTTTTATCGAAGTTAACTAATTTACTTCATCTAAAAAACGTTTTCTTGGCTTATTTCAGATGCCCCTGAAGATGCTATTTTAAGCGAAAGTACTTGGGCTAGATTTAATTAACTTGTGCTCGATAATAGCCTTATTTTCAAAGTTAAAAGTAAAATATATTTTTAGCTTACCTCTACTCTGTCCTGACACCAGAGATCCATTTTCAAAATCACCATTTGAATATCTCCGGACAACTTTCTTTATCCATTTGGGTGTCTCAGATTTCGGATCTACTATTAACAGTCCTGAATTATTAAACCTATTATCACCTGAGGTAGACAAATTACTGGACGTTCTCATAATCAGCCTTGAATCAGAATCCGAGCAGTCACTGTCCAAACTAGGAGAATAAACGTAAAATTTCCTAGCAGATTCTTTAGGACTTATGGGAGACTTGGAATGGTGTGGGGAATTGCGCAAGGAAGGACAGTATAGATTTCGAGCACCACTGGGGGAGAACTGACCATTCTTAGATTTGGGTGATTGCATGGGAGATCTTAAGCCACTAGATCTAGGACTCAAGAAAATGGAATTGAAATCCGGCGATTTTATACAACGATTCTGCGATCTGTACAGATACCTACGTTCGCGGCGCAATGAGTTAAATGGTACAATATTTTCACTATTGTCTTCTGAGAACTCATATTTCTTTTCAGCTAATCGCTTTTTTCTGAACGAACTAATTTTTTCATATTTCTCATTCTCTTCAATAAACTCATATGCCTTCTCTGCGATTTTCTTATCTATTTTTGATTTTTCTAAAGATTTCTGAGTAGTTGAACTTTGAGGTACTGAGAATAAGTACTCTTTACTATTGGTTTGCAACCTTTTCACTCTTGGATCTACAATATTTTGAACTAAAGTATTATGATAGCTTTTACCGGTAACATTCAAAGGTTCACAACTTATGTTTAGTTCGTGAAAAGGTTTGTTACATTCGTTGGATTCCAAGTCATATTCACTAAAGTCTTCTAGTATGGCATCTACTACACTACTTGTACCGAAATGTTCACTAGGGGTTTCTGATACTTCACTTAAGGTGTCGTTAAATGTATGTGTAGGAGTATTTGTTAAGAGTTTGTCGTCGTCTTTTGTTAAATTAAGTAATGAAACAGTTAGCTGAGGGGGTTCTGAGGTTGAAACGTTTAATATATGTATATGGTGACCAGTATTAATAACCAAGTGATTAGGATAGGCTAAGGAAATGCTGGGATCAAATATGGGCGTTGGCTGGGACATGGAAAACATGTAATGTACTATGAATCCGTGTTTGATGCACCAACCTTGATTTATCGATTCTGAAAAGAAAAACAATCTAATGAAATTGTTAATGGATTTAAAATATAACTATGTAGATAAAACGCAAAAGTTGTGCACCACCAAAAATTATGCTCATTTTGATCGTTGATTTTTTCGTGAACAGATTATCGGATTCCGCCATTTTTTTATTACTTTAGATTTTTTTTTTGGTATTTACATTGTTGGTTAAATGTTTTATAAATTATTTTTGGGCTTATATTGGATGGAAGAAAAAAAGTTGTACTGTAGGCGGTACTGTAGTAGATCAGCGCGAAGCTTTGTACTTTGTTTTCTGTATTAAATATTATTTTTAAAACTAAATTAAATCTTCTTCTTCTTCTACTTTTTGTAGATCTTTCGATCTGTTTAATTCTGAAGCTGCCTCTGGTTAATTTCTTGGGAGGTAGATTGCCAACTATCCCTCCATCTTTTAGGTGGTCTTCCGGGGGTCTTGAACCAGGCGGATTGTTTTTCAAGGCAATTTTTGGGAGTCTATTCTCATCCATTCGTCTTACATGGTTGTACCACATCCTCTTGCGCTGTCTTCCCCATCTTACAATATCTTGAATTTTGCACTGCTCTCTAATGTTTGTATTTCTCACTCTGTCCTTCTTGTTTTCCCCATTATTGTTCTTAGGGTTTTCATTTCGGCAACCCTTAGCATCTGTTTCGTTTTGTTGGTATCTTCGCGCACTTCTATGCCATATGTCATGATCGGTCGTATGCAAGTCTTATAGATTCTAATTTTACTATCTGTGCGCATATACGGATTAGACCAGACTATCTCCCGCAGACATCCTGACAGTGCAGATGCTTTGTTGATCTGACTCCTCAGGTCCTTTACTGGGTCATGGGTGCTTGATATATCTATGCCCAGATATCTGAATTGCATCACCTGTTCTATGGGGTTGTCCTCAACCACTAACTTACATCTGAGCGGATCTTTTGCTATTGTCATACATTTAGTTTTGTTGGTAGAGATGTTCATATTTAATAGTCGGCTTGTTTGAAAGAACTGAAAGAGCTGCCTTTGGAGATCATCTTCTGATTCGGCAATAATTGCTGCATCGTCTGCGTAGCACACCATACCAATTCTTTTGTTGCCCATTCTATATCCGAGATTAAGAGATGTTACTTTGTTGATAATTTTGCCCATGAGAAGATTAAACAAGAAGGGGCTTAAACTGTCGCCTTGTCTAATTCCTCCCGGTGTTGGAATATTTTCAGTGAATTCGTCTCCTGCTCTAACTTTGGTTACGTTGTTGTTATTTAGGTTATGGAGTATCTTTGTTATATTGGTCGGTGTTTCATTTTCTATTAATATATTTAGAATGTCTCCCAGGCGAACTCTGTCAAATGCCTTCGTCAAATCAATGAAACAAATATACGCTGGCATGCCGAACTCTATAGCTTTTTCTTTTATTTGTTTTATTACAAATACTGCGTCTGTTATAGACCACCCTTTTGTAAAACCTTGTTGTTCTTCAGCATTAGTGATTTGCTTTTCCAATTTGTCCTTGAGAATACCCGTGAAAAGTTTCATTGTTGTATTTAAGAGGGTTATTCCTCTATAGTTTTGTGGGCAGGTTTTTTGTCCTTTTTTAAATATGGGGATTGTGATACTATTATGCCATTCCTCTGGTGTTTCTGTTTTGTTTAATATTTTGTTAAATAGTTGTGCCAGTTTACTTGCAAGTTCCGGGCCTCCATATTTTAAAAGTTTATTGGGTATACCATCCGTTCCCGGTGATTTTCTGTTTTTTAGCTTTTTGATCTTTGCTTCTACTTCTTCGTCATTGATTGTAGCACTTACATCTGTTTCGCCTTCGTTTATATTCAGCGTTTCTTCAGCATCATATAGCTCTTTAAAATGTTGTTGCCATGTTTCTATAGGTACTCCTTTGGTCTGCACGAACTCGTTAACTGGTTTTTTCCTGTTGCGGAGCATTTTCCATACTTTCTTTTGGGCACCATATAGGTCGTAGTCCATGTCGCAAGTGAATTTGGCCCAATGTTCTCTTTTGATTGATTTTATTCTGGCGTTTACTAAATTAAATAATTTTATTATTTTAATTACACGTGTAATTTTAATTAACATGTGGTGAACCTATAGATGATTAAAATAAACATATGATTCAAATAAAGAAAAAAAATTATGAAACATTTCGAAAACTAAAAGAATAAATTATGGTCAGTTTTGATTTATAATATTTTGCACATGAATTATTCATGAAATATTGATTTCTAATATTATAGGTTGCACGTTTATTCTGATAAATAAATTCAAATCACTGTTCATTAGTGTTTCAATAGTGCTAATTCAATATTGCCAAAAGGCCATTATGCTATTACGAAGTATCGTCATACTGGAAAATACACTAGAAGACCAGGATCAGACAGGAAAAGGTGCAGATATCAGCGTGATGAACGTTTTTTCAAAAGATTTTCGGACTACCGAACCACTGTTTAACGTCAAGTGAGTAGGGTCATTCCAAAGTGAGTCTTATTCATTTTTTATAAAAATTAAGTTGGCACTGATTTATACCATTATAACAAAATACTGTTTCAAATAACTTCTTGTTCTATTGGCGATGTCAAACGAAAGAGGCGACACGGTGCTGTAGAAATTTGAACTAGTGCACGTAGGATAACAAAACATTATTTTGTATTTAGTTATACACACATAACATAGTTATAAACATTTTAAATATTATTAAATAAAGCACAATAAGGTAACAAAATGTTAAAAAGTAAATGTAAACAGTATTGTTCTGCACGGCAATGCAGTAATTATCGATCGGCAGGAATAACTATGCACTTTTTTCCTCGTGACAAAAATCTACAAGATCGTTGGGCACAGGAATTAAAAATTGGGAAATCGATATCAAGTGATATGATCGTGTGTTCACAAAATTTTTTATCAACAGATTTTTTTCAAGTAAATTTGCTGAACAGAATTGCAACATTTATTATATATAATGTGCGTACCTAATCAAATATATACACTAACATAGATCTTAATTAAAATTTCTATTACAACTGCAGCAGGGCAAAAGAAACTTTCAAAGAAAGGTGTTATTCCCTCTCAATGCCTTCTTAAAGGAAAAAACGAAATGTAAACAATAAAACACTGAAAACTTTGTTTTCAAACTTCCACAAAATTTATTTTAAATATTATCACTACAGCTGTTTCGGCTGATTGCCTTTCTCAAGTGATCTATTTTGGCTTGGGTTTACAAATTATAGTCTCTAATGAAATAGGTTGAGGAGGGGAGAACTGTTTGTCTCAAGTTGGTCATTCAGAATTATATCTGTGTTTTTTTAATTTGTTGATTTCCATAGATTCTAACAAAGATAGCTTAAGGCCTTTATTTTGAATGTGAAGAATTTTAAATTTGTCATTAAAAGAATGATTATGATCTAGAAGGTGAAGTGCGTATGTCGAATCTGTTTTTCTATTCTTGAAAGCCCTTTTATGTTCTGCTATTCGTTTATCAAAGTATCGACATACGCACTTCACCTTCTAGATCATAATCATTCTTTTAATGACAAATTTAAAATTCTTCACATTCAAAATAAAGGCCTTAAGCTATCTTTGTTAGAATCTATGGAAATCAACAAATTAAAAAACACAGATATAATTCTGAATGACCAACTTGAGACAAACAGTTTCTCCCCTCCTCAACCTATTTCATTAGAGACTATAAATTTGTAAACCCAAGCCAAAATAGATCACTTGAGAAAGGCAATCAGCCGAAACAGCTGTAGTGATAATATTTAAAATAAATTTTGTGGAAGTTTGAAAACAAAGTTTTCAGTGTTTTATTGTTACATAAAATGAATTTCCATCAAGTAACGGTCGAATCCATCAATTATTGAAAAAACGAAAGAAAAATCAATGAGGAACTGGTGAATGCTAGACTAATGCGTAATAAAACACACGCACATTCCTCCCTGGCGGGTTTTACAAGTGCATTTTACCACCCACTCGTCTCTTAACACATCCACAGTGATTTCATGTGGGGCACAATTTAAATTAGTCGTTTGCAGACACAAACCGACTAATTTGTTATTATATTTGCCACACAACACAACGTGGCCAGCCTTTAACAAGGCCTCGCCTTCTTTTAAAGGTCTTTTTGTGTCTCCTATATATTTCAAAATATGGAGCAGACTAACTTCAATGTCTTTATTTGCCATTACTTATTCCGTGGCGTTACAACCCTTCGTGGGTTTTAGCCGACTCGATAACATGCCTCCACTGTTTTCTATCTTGAGCAACCTCCATCCAATTCTCCACGCCCATAGTGCTTAGGTCTCCTGCTATATTATCTCGCCACCGGAGACGAGGGCGTCCGCGTGGTCTCCTTCCAGTTGGGACTTCCTCCCACACCAGTCTTACTGTTCGTTCGTCAGAATGTCTTCTGAGGTGTCCTGCCCATTGGAGTCTTCTGGACTTTATTTCTTTTATGATGTTGGCGTCTGGGTAAAGTTCTTCAAGCTCTTTATTAGTTCTTATCCTATATTGTCCTGATGCTTCATCAAGCACCGGACCAAAGATCTTCCTTAGGATTTTTCTTTCCCAAACACGTAGTCTCTCTTCATTTGCCTTTGTCATCGTCCACGTTTCGCTTCCATACATCACAACGGGTCGTATGATTGTTTTATAGACCTGTATCTTCGTACCTCGTGTTAGTTGTTTTGATTTTATAAGGTTTTGGAGGGCAAAAATACATCTGTTGCCGGCCTGAATCCTGTTGTTTATTTCTTGTGATCCGTTATTGTCTTCAGTTATTGTTGTTCCAAGATACTTGAATTCTCTAACGCGCTCAAAGTTAAAGTCATCGATGGTAATGTTCTGACCGATTCTGTCTCTGCTTTGGTTATTGCGGCTCATATACATATATTTCGTCTTATTTCGTTGATTTGGAGCCCCAACTGCTTCCTTCTCAAACCTTACGAAAGTCTCCTTCATCTTTAATCGCGTGTTTCCTATTAGATCTATATCGTCTGCAAATGCCAGTAGTAAGTTTGGTCCTTCTCGATGAAATACTGTATTCGGTTTTTCGATTCTTGCACTTCTGATTATGTGCTCCAGAGCTAAGTTGAAGAGTTGTGGTGAAAGTGCATCTCCTTGTTTTAGTCCATTGTTTATTTCAAATGTCTCCGAGTATTGTTGTCCAACTCTCACCTTACATCGTAACCGTTCCATACACATCCGTATCAACCGGACTAGTTTTTTTGGAAAGCCAAGTTCCTGCATCGCTGTCCACAGTCTGTCCCTACATACTCTATCAAATGCTTGTTTAAAATCTATGAACATCTGATGAAGCTCACGATCAAACTCCCAGCATTTTTCCATTATCTGTTTTATTGTAAATATCTGGTCAATTGTTGAGCGGCCCGGTCTAAATCCGCATTGATAATCTCCAACGATTTCTTCTGTGTATGTTTTGGTTCTTTCTAGCAGGATGTTTGCAAGGATTTTGTAGGTGGTGTTTAGGAGTGTTATTCCTCTGTAGTTAATACATTGCTTTTTGTTTCCTTTTTTGTGTATTGGTACAATAACCCCTTCTTTCCATTCATCTGGCATTCATTTCATTCATTCATTCATTTGCCATTGCGTTAACAAAAAAATAAATGGAAGATAATAAATACGGATAATGTTTAGACACAACAATCATTCACCTATAAAGATTATGTAGCTGTTTTGTTTTCCTACATGTGTGATCAGCTGATCATCTGTCAAAGCGCCCCCTGTAGTTTGTTGACATCGCCAATATAAAACAAGTCTAAATATTGCGCATCTTTTCATCCTTTCAGCCAATGACTGCCTCCGATTTTTACCCACGTGATCGTTTTGACTTGCGTGATAAGGTTACGTTATTTTACGTGACAAAGTAAGTGTTTAATATTTTAAACTGTTATGGAAGAAGCACCTAAAGAAGTACTAAAAGGTTGTGGCAGAAAGAAGGTTTCTAATCCAAAACTGTCGGCCAAAACGCTTAAAAAAAACAGGTAAAGATTTATTAGTTGTTTTATTAGTTTACTGTCAAATCTGTGCTATAAATAACTAGTAATTCGATAAAACTGTTTATTCAAGAATTATTTTTTCTGTATTGCTTATATCAATCTTTTGTTTCAGATATGCGGCAAAGCAGCCTCCTATTTATCCAACATGTGGCCATTCCGGTAAAACTTTTCAACGTAAATCACTTAAAATGACGTCTACAATCATTTCATGCAGCTTTTTTTCTTCAACAAAGAAACAAATTCAAGATGCATTTCTCCTCAAATATATTGACATTAAAAAACCGAAACGTGACAGAGACACGAAACTGAATTCTTCAAGAAAAACAATTGCTATAAATTACTTTGTCAAAGTCTATAATACAGAGAAGTTTCAGATCAAAGTATGTCAAAAAGCATTTTTAAATATTTTACATGGAACGAAAAGCAGAATTCAAAGAGTAGCAAATCGTTACTTAAAAGCGGTCAAATGCCTATCGGAAGAAGGGGTGGTGCTAGGAGAGGGAAACATACTGAAAAAGAAGATTTGTGAAACAGTTTATAGAAAATTTAAAATGTATTGAAAGTCATATTGCAGAGGCAAAAGTACTAGACAGTACTTGCCATGTGAACTTTCCGTTAAAAAATTAATGGAAATGTATATATGTTTTTTCAGAAAAATTTTCTGTGAAGATTATATTATTGGCTTTGGCACTCCAGTTACTGGTGCCTGCTCTCGATGTATTGACCTAACAGAAAGAATAAAAAACTAAAAGGATAAAACTATACGAAATAAACTTTTGATCGAAAAAAGATTACATAAGCTTCGTAGCGCAAATTTGTTTCATTTTTTGAAATTTTATTTGCCGGACTGGACGGGTCCGGCAGTCCGGTAGTATTTACTAGCTGAGTGGACGGGATCGGCAAATTTTATTTGCCGATCCCGTCCACTCAGCTAGTAAAGAATTCTATTCTATATCGTGCAAAGAAACTTTATAATCACCTTCCAAGAGAAATTAAATCCGCAACATCCTTCATTAAGTTTCGTAAGGTGACAAAAATCTATCTCTCAGAAAGACCATATTATTCAGTTGACGAGTTTCTTAATGTATAACAAAGAAACAAAATTAGTATTGTTTATAATTACATTTGGGTGTCTCAAGCAGTGGCTACAATTTGTATCATTTGTTGTTGTCTGTACAAATTATGTAGGTTATACAATAATTATACTAATTTAAAATTGTGTTATTCTGTTTTTTACTATATTGTTTTTGTTTTATACTTTTTGTATTATTTGACTGATTTATTTTTTAGCTTTGTCCATAAAATTGTTCAATAATTTTCAGTGACAATAAAGCATATTTCTATTCTATTCTATGTGTCTCAAACTTGCATAAGAAAAACATTTTTTTCTTCTATCTGGTATAAGCTCGAAAGATAAGTTTGAGTATACATTTGCCGAACGGTGTAAATAAAAAAGTGTAAAATAATAAAAAAATTAGCGTAATCTGTTAATCCGTTCACGAGAAAATCAACTATCAAATAAACATAATTTTTGGTTGTGCAAAACTTTTGCGGTTAAGTTTATTTTATATACGATTTTGCTCGTATGTAGTGTAGATAATGATTTATTAATGAAAAGTAGGGCAACGATATATTTCCAGTAAATTGTTAATGTAAATGACTAATAGTATACAACACTCAGATGAATCAACAATATAAAAACTACTATCACGTTTAAAACTACAAAACTACAATTTATTGAAACATTGAGATCTATGTACTTATATTTTACAATGTCCTATAATGGGTGCATATGCAGAGGAACTGAGGAAATTAGGAAGATATACTGCCTGACATTCAAAATGCAACACTCAGTAAACATTATAATAAAATGTGTACATATAACGTGGGTATCCATTGAATAAAATTTTTGTGACAATTAAAGTAGTCCATAACCTTAAACTCAGTAATAAATTTGAGCTCCTATTTGGTAATGTACTCCTGTACTATGCGCTACATGCTTCCAATGCAGTGATCGATGTCTTCCTGCTGTATAGAAGACCACACATACTGAATCTCATTCCGAAGGTGCAGTATGTAAACTTCCCGTTATGGAAGTACCATTGAATGACCATTGACAGAGAAATACTAAAGTGACAGCTGCATTGTAGGATCTGGCATTATCTTGAAAAATGAGGTTTCCTAGTTCTCGCAGATAGGGCATTATAACAGGTTCAAAGATAATATGAATGTAACGCTGGGCGTTCATGTTTCTTTGCAGAAATGTCCTGTTTCTGATTCAATTCGTCCCATTCTTGACACCACTGCAGCCTTGCTTCCATGTCCCTTTGGTTAACGGAAAGATGGTGAGTGGTGAGTAGGATTGAAAACCAAAAGACCTTATTTGCCAGGTCTCATACTGAGTTGTTGTCCTGTAGCAGCCAGTCATTCATTGCAAGTTGTTCTAGTAATGTTAAGATGTCCTTAAGAGCATATGTCCTTATTAGGCATTGTTCACTGTGACTGGTTTTGTGACCTGCTCCTGTACCTCAATGATGTTGTCCGATGTTGTAGTTCCGTCCAAGTATTCCAAAATTGAATTACAGTAGCCACATTCCTACTAACCCCATTACCGAGGAGCTATTCCAGCTCCTCCCATCCATTTTATTTTTCTTTTAAATTCACTTAATTGAACAATGTTTTAAGGGCAGGATCAAGAAGAAAATTCACTAAAAGTCAAACTGTCGAAGAATAGCAATGCCAAAAAGTGTGATCTTTTTAAGTAACAAGCAACTTAGTTTAAGTTAAGTAACAAGATTATTATGAAACTTTATTCCTTTAATGCACTCTATGAACTCAGTTATAAGTTTTCCTACACTCATTAAAACATCACTATTTCAGATATAAATAAAATGTGGTAGATTGGTGTCTTAAAATATGAACTTACCATCTGTCTGTGAGAAATTCTTGGAGCAATGTCTACAATTTTTTGGTGCTGGCAAGGTTAATATTGATATATGAACTAGATCTGGATTTGTAGCTCTGAAAGTCCAATAAAACAATTTAGATTAGATTATACAAAAGACTAATATATTACTTCAAATATATGTACATATAAATTTTTGTACACCGAGATTGCAACTTCCTCTATGAAGCTGTATCAGGGTTTCTGAGGTCTGTCTCCTGAACCCCCAAATCTGCTGTTTATAATTGGAGGTGGTTTACACTACATAATATACCTACATTGACTGTCAACTGGCAATGCTTATTATATACTCCAAGTTTATTGAATAGGGCTTAAAAAAGCTTAATCATCAACTTATTTTAATGAGCTTTGGCTTGGTATAGAACACTATTTTGGTAGAGAGATATTAGTAAAGTTTTTTTGAAATATATAAAACTATTTAAAATTTGAACACAATGTTATACTTACGTTAGTCCATAACACACAAGTTTATACAAATCTCTTGGGAATTGCATAAACATTACTTTATCTAGTACGTCAGATGAGCCTTTAAGGTGCTTAAAAATCTTATGCTTTGATATAAAATGAAGCTTCTGACCAGGAACAAATCTCCAAATATATAAATCATATTCATAATTCGTATTAAAACTAAGAGGGCCCAAATCCTCACACATCTTTTCAGTGTAGCTTACAAAGTACTGTCCACACATTGTAAATCCCATATATATGTGGTTGCTGAAAGATAATAAATTGATTACATTGGTGTAAACAATAATATACTCATTTAAGAACTAACATATCTATTATTACTGAACTAACTATTGCATACAATTGATTTTTGAAATCAAGTAATAATACTCTGTATCTAATTTATTCATTTGATACACGGGATAAACCCATTAACAGTTTAAATTACAATATACAATATCACAGTCAGGATTCAAAACTTGAAATTACCTATAATATAAAATCAATATTAAAAAGTTTAAAAAAAACGAGACTAAAAATCTTACATACTAAAAAACAAACAAACAAAGTATAACAAGACTAAATTCAACAATCCCAATATACATATCACAAAGCAAGAGATCTTTTTACTTAATCGAGTTAAAGTTATATTGAAAATATCAAAATCGCGATCATTTAATAGCACCATGTATCTATCCAATGGGTTGTGAATACCATAGGTTGTTCTGTGGAAATTAATATTGAAAATATTGTGGTACCGTAGAGCTTGGTTAATCTGGCTTAACAGGTTTGGACAATCATTACATCCATGTATGATCTTATATATAAATATAGCTCCTGACATGCCACGACGGTTCTTGAGTGAGTATAAAGATAATTGCTGTTAGATACGGAGATAATCATGATTTTCAATAGTAGTGTGGATATGGTAAGTACCAAATCTCAAAAATTTATGCTGGACTATTTCTATGGTATCAATATTGTTCTAAAAATAGGGTGACCAAATAACTGAACAGTATTCCAAAATAGTTCTAACTAAGCAACAATATACTAATCTTGTTGAATTATGGAGAAATACTTGCAATTCCTAGTAACAAAACCAAGAAGTTTAGATGTCTTTATTGAAATAGAGTTGAGGTCACAGAAAGTAGGCTTCAAATCGAAAATAACACCCAAATCCTGAATAGAAGAAACATAATACAGTGGCTGATTATTAATAGTATAGCTTGTTCCAATTCTATTAACTTGTAAGAGAAAAACTTATAAAACAACATTTTTTACATTTAAGTGGAGTTTGTTCTGATTGCACCAATTTTGTAGACTGTCTAAGTCGTCTTTTAGCAAGGATTGATCTTTTAAACTGTCTATAACTTTCCAAAATTTCAAGTCATCTGCCAACATTAGACATTTGCTATTTAGGAAAGAGGAAGTGATGTCATTAACGAAGATATTAAAAGGAAGTGGAGAAGTGTGGCCTCCTTGAGGAACTCCCGATGTTACTGTGATACTGTCAGATAGATGACAACCTATCTTGACTCTTTGACTTCTCCTAGATGTAGAGTTTTTAATCCATTCAACAAGCCTGCCATGAAAGCCTACATTAATTAATTTGCCCAAAAGTATTTGGTGATCTATACGATCAAATGCTTTGGAAAAATCTGTGTATATTACATCTACCTGTTTACAGCCTTCCATATGAGATAATATATATCAGATTGATTGCAAACCAAATTTATTGCAATGGATTTTTTGCAATGAAAACCATGTTGTGCTGGAGATATTAAGCATTTACTTAACCAATATATATGTTGTAAAGATACTTTGTAACCCAATACTTTTTATAGATGTTTCAATTCTTCTTCAAAACATTTAGGTACACATATTGGGTAGCAGAATATAGTATTAAGGTTTTTATGACTCTTCTCTTTTGTTTAAGATGGTGATTAGAGTTGTTCAAATAAGGATTGTTTTGTCAGTTTTCAGTATACTCTGGGTCTAAGTTTTCTAATGCATTATAATGTCTCATCAACCAGAACCATGGTAAATAATGAAACCATGTTGAAATTTGTCTAAATATCATTCAATCATAGTATAATCTCTTATTTTCACAATAAAATCTGCAAAATCTTTGACATAGGCATCCGAATAGCTGATAGATATTTTGCAACACCAGAAGTGTTTGTGTCCAGTAGTTCTGTAATTTTAATGTTATAGTCTTCAGATTTAAGCATGAAAATGATATTCTCCTTATCAACAGATTAAATTAAAATCATTTTGTCAGCATTTATCTGCTCTTCTTTATAGACTTGAATCTGGAATGGTTCTGAAATCTGAAATGGACTATGAATGGTGGTTACAGATTCCCGAAGTCATTGAGCAGGTTCTATAGCAGTTGGAACTGATTAAACTGCTCTTTGTTGATATATATATATATATATATATATATATATATATATATATATATAACATATATATATATATATATATATATATATATATAATATATATATATATGTTATATGTGAAAATAGTCACCTTGAACCACTCAAGGGTTACCGACACTTTGGTTTCGCAATATCAGTTCCTATTTCATCATTCTTTTAGCAAGCGTTCCCATAGAGATAGCTGACTATGCACGGACATCAAACTCTGACCAAAGCTGGCCTTTCGTGGGAAATGCCGACACCACATTTTGTAGATAGATTATAAATTCAGGACTAACATTATATTTTTCACTCGTCATATAAGTTTCTTACTAATAACATTTGTATTATATAATTTTATTTGCTTCATTTTATCGTATAACTAAGTGTAACTTTTATTTGTGAAATAAATCTTTTTTAAAAAGTCAATCAAGAAGTTAGTGATTTAACATTTGGCGCAGTCAGTAGGATCCGGTTAACGTTGTTAGAACAAGGAAACTCACTAGCAACGGCGGATCCCTATCCCTCAACGGAAAAAGAACCTAGAGCCGTCCTCATTCAACTGGATACTACGGAAGGAACACCTGGTGAAGCCCCTGGTAGCAGATCCCGTTAGAAAACAAGACGTACTCGATGTTTCTGTTAATGTAAGTTATTGAATCATCTCGTTTTTACTATTTTTATATTTGCAAACATACCGTACATACATCATAATTTTTTCAATTTATAATCTTGACTATACAGAAAGTCAAGCCAAGTTGATTATCTAATAAGGAAATACCTTTTTATTGCATACTTTTATTATTTTATCATTCTTATTTACACATTTTATTGATTTCGTATTATATTTTCACCGATATTTTACTATATTTTACTTTATTTTACCACATTTTACTTGATTTTACCATATTTTACTTGATTTTACTACATTTTATTTTATTTTACCATATTTACTATTCGTATATTTGTTTTATACTTCCACTAACATATTATTATCAAAATGCCTGAAACACGTTCACAAACCCAAGTTGAAATTGAACCATACAAACTTTCAGAAATATTCTCCATAATTCCTGAGTTTGAAGGAGACCCAATCTCTCTTCCCACATTCTTAGACGCATGTGATTGCGCGATTAAAATGTCTTCGGGAGACCAACGTATTTTATTAACGATTCACATTAAAAATAAACTAAAAGGTAAAGCAGCTCAATTAATAAACTCTAGAAAACCAACTTCATACACAGACATAAAAAATTTATTAAACCTTCATTTCGGAGATAGTAGAGATCTCACTTCCTTAATTCACGACCTACAAAGACTTCGACAGTTATCGAACGAATCACCTTTAACCTTTTTCAATAGATTACAAGTTCTAAATGCAAACATGCACGCCTCAATTCAAAAATCAGGCCTAACACAAGACCAAAAAACCGCCCAATGCACGTTAATTGACTCTATGGCTTTGAATACTCTCTTAACTGGACTAGAACCCCGCTTAGGACAAATAATTAGGGCCAGTAACCCTAAAGACCTTATTGAAGCCAGTAACCGTATCCGACGTGAACTTCAGTTATCGTATTTCGAATCTCAAAAATCAAATAAAGATAGCCAAAATAATCCAAAACCTTCCCAACCGATGAGAAGAACCTCATCTAATTTTTCTAAATGTACAAGTTGTGGTCGTATTGGCCATTTAAGTAGCGAATGTCGCTCATCACGTTTTTCTTATCAAAATCAATATAGCGGTAGACCACAAAACTACCAAAATAATCAAAACCAATCCAATCAATATAATACTAGATCACAAAATTACCCAAGTAATCAAAACCAATACTCTTCTAATCAACAAAATTTAAACCCACAGAGATCGAATTTCCCTTCTCAAAATCAACCGCAGAATCGCCCCTCTGTTATTCAGAGAAATCCAAATTTCCAAAATTTTCAGCAAAGAGCCCATGTCTTTAATGAATACCCTGACGATCTTGTAGAATCTTATGAAGATTATTATACAGAAAATGATCTTCAAACTAACTATTTTTACGAATATACCAATGACACATCTGATTTTATTAATAATACACCTGATACAGAAAATTATCAGGATTTTCTTTCGCTACCCAATCAGAACCATCCCCCAGTACATACGAATCTTTCAACCGATATCACGAATGTACAACAACAAATCCAAGCCCTCAATTTGGACAATTTCGATCCAAATGTGAATTTCCCCGAACAGAAATTCCTGTAAGCCCCTTCCACACAATGAGCTCTAAAAACTTATATTATATCAATGACGCTACGAATACTTTTAAACTTCTAATTGACACCGGTGCAGGAATTACAGTTTTCAAAGAGAATACTGCACGAAATTATCATAACCGATCCCCAGAAAATGTTACCATTCAAGGCATAACCGACGAGAAACTTCTAATTACAGAATCTGTCCTTATTCCCTTTACCGATGACAACCCTCACAAAGTTTTCATTTTTAATCTAGACATTGACTTTGACGGCATAATAGGCCTAGATTTCCTAGACCACTACGAATGTGTAATAGACCTTAAAACAAGACAACTTCATACAAATTTTAAAACTCTTACCCTGCATAAAGTCGGACAAGAGACCCATAAACCCATAGAAAATATTCCGGTTACATTTCCTACAAAAATAGTACCGTCAAATAATTTCCAAACATATCCGAAATCAAACTCAAACGTTAAAGCTCAACACAATAGCAGCTCATTTCACGAAAACACTCATGATCAACACAAACACATCCCAAGACCAGAGAAAAAACGAATAAAAGAAAAAATAAACCAAATTTCGATTGATAGCCGAACAGAA